CGTGGGATCCTCAGGACCACCAGCCAGGGGCTGTCAGGGAAGCCGTGCTATCACACGTTGTGAGGGTAACTAGTGGTTGTTGAATATCTGTGGCCTGAGAAATTTTGTTCAAATCTAGTCCACCTGCTGACATAATCGAGACTCTGTCCCTTTTTTCAAAAACTGGATTTGCCGCTCCTACTCCATAGCAATTACTGAGGGAATTGGCTGGAATTGCAAGGTTCTCCGGTCAAGAAAACCCAGTGAATACTCTTCCCACTTCATCCTTTTTTCCAAGAAGATGCTCAGTAAAACTTGAAGCTGGGAATCATGTATTTCTTCTCTGTGGGAGAAGAAAAAAGCATTCATTTGCTCATTCATTCAGCAAGAGTGTGTATTAAGGTACACCACTTCATGCCAGGTTGGGTGATTATAGGGACACAGGAGAAATCCAGACAGACTAGGTTCCTATCCTCAAGGACCTAAGTCCAGTGGGGGTATCAGACCACCACCGTACAGTGACAATCTAAAGCAGAACTATCTAATAGAAATGCAATGCAAGCCACCTAATGCAATTTTAAATTCTACATAAAAAGTTATACAGGTGAAATTAATGTTATTTAACCCAATATATCCAAAATAAGTTACATTTAATGAAAAAAGACATTTCTTCAGTTTTAAAAATTTAGTTAAAATCAAAATTAAAACTCTGAGGCAGTAACACAGATGTTCATTTGTGGCATGGGTTGTTATAATGAAAGGTTGGAAACTGCCCAATATCCATTAATAGAAGTTTGGATAAATAAGTGATAGTTGAGCACACAGTGGAATATGCAACTGCCAACTGCTGGAAAATGAGACAGAGCTGTAGCTTTTAATATGAATTAATCTCTAAGGTGTATTAAGTGAGAAAAAGGTGCAGAACAGTGTATATAGCATTACTACCATTAATATTAGAAAAAGTATTTTTTATATATGCTTGTGTATGTACAGATCAGCTGTAGAAAGATACAACCAGGGTTACCTTTCGGCAGGGGAAATAAAACAGGTGACAGGTGTGAAAAGGTGACTTTCTTTTCATTATATGATCCTCAGTATGTTTTTAATATTTTTACCATCTCCATTTTAAAAGTTGTTTAATTAAATGGAGAATGATAGCTAAGTCATAGAATCACCGTAAGAATTAAATGAAAAAATGTATGTAAAATACCTGGCCACCACTTTATAACCTAATCAGTTCTGCATACTGTCATTACTCCCAGGTAACTTTTCTACCCAATAGAAACTAGCCCATCCTGATAATGTATGTTTGTCAGGCTGGAAAATTGTTTCTTTTCATAAAGTTAAGTGCATTCCAGCCCCAACCCTAGCTGTGAAGTCACCTGTAAGGCCAGAGTTGCCTTCCCAGGCTTTCAGGGCAGACTCGGGCCTCTTATCAGTATGTTGTTCAAAAAACAGAGTAAGCCTAGATTGCCCTCTGGTTTTCCAGCCCCTCTGACTTTACAGTCAGCTAATTAGGCCCTTCTGATGCCAACAGGCATGTTGGGCCCCTGTCCCCAAAGGGGAGAGCCTCCTATAAGGCTGTAGGACCCATTCGGGGCTCTACCTCAAAGTGTGGAGCACACGCCACCATCTCTGGGTGCTCACAGCTCTTTGCTCTTTTCCTTCTTAAAACTGAATCGCTAGCATAATTTAATGTGCTTTAAGTTTGAGAAAATTAAAGTTGCAGAAAAGTTGAAAGAATAATGTAACCTGGCACCCAGAATTTCTCATTGTAATCAATTTTGTGACTATTCTGTGATGTTTGCCTTCCCTGCAAAACTGAAAGCTCTACGGGGCAAGAACTGTATGCTCTCACATTCCTATAACAGAGCATATGGAGCCAATGAGCCACCCAGAAGGAGCCCAGGGCCCCCCTTGAACTAATTCTCTCCATTACAAAGGCAGGGCTTAGAATTTTGCCTTCCATCCCACCACTACTGACACAGTCTGTTAGGACTGTAGCCAAGGATAAGTATTGCCAGTGTCAATGCCCAGTCAGGAACGTAGACATATCATATCTCTACCCCAAATAATGACTCCCTTAGGTTGCCTGCAGGACTTGAATTCTCCCATTAGATCATTTTTGGGTTATTGAAATATTAAGAAATGAAGGATATTGGGATTAAGGCATCTGGACCTCACTCCTGACTTGTTCTGAAGCATAGGTAATGGGATCAGGGAATCAAATACAGGGGGTTTTAGAGGAGGTTTCCTCTGAGGGCAACCTAAGGAAACTGGTATGTGGCATGTGAGAATGGCCAAAAAATAAACAGAAGTTCGGGGCTTGAAGGCCACCTTTCTCACTAACCTCCAAGGAATGTGCGCCCAAAGGATTCCAAGTGCTTGCATTTTGTAGGTCGAGAGAAGTTGGACCCAGAGGAGATAATAGAACCAATGGAAACTAATGGCAGTGACTGCAAATTTGTTACAAGCTCTGTGGCTTCAAGAAGGAGCCAGTGGGGTAAATCTATGCTGTAGGGCCATCCATGATGTGCAGGATCTGAAGCAGATCACACTGGCTCCTGAAAGGTAGTCCAAAGGAGGAGCAAGCACAGGGTTTCAGGGAAATAGAATGAAGAACGATATGGCAGGAGGGCAGTGTGCAGACTTGGGCAGAGGAGAAAGAGACAGAGGGGACGCTGCTGTCTGACAGGCAGCTCCCAGTTCACATTAGTGGGCTTGTGGGTCAGAGAGTTTCCTTAGCATCAGCCAGCAGATCCTCTTCCTCCTCTGATGTGAAAGAATCCTGAACCACAGATTGGACCTTAGTCTTGGATCTGCCCTGTGTGGCCTTGAACACATACATCCCTTTTCCTCTCTGAATTCATGTTCTTCATATGTATAACGGAGATAATACCTGCCTCTAAGAATTCTTTTGAGAACTAATGAAGTGATTGATAAGAAAGCTTTTTTGTGGGCTCTAACCCACTCTACATATGAGAGGGTGGTGAAGTTTTTTTGCCTGCTACTTCCATGCAAATCCAGCCATCAAGTCTCTGTGTCAACACAGGGCCTAGGCTTAGTCAATACCAGAGGGCAGGTTCTGCTGACTTTGCCTCAGGAGGCCTGGGTCAAACTGATCTGGAACTCCAATAGCTCTCCGAATCAGTGGTTCTGACTTCAGTGTGTGTAAGATCAGCTTAAGCTTAATAAAACTCAGATTTTGGGGGCCTGCTCTCAGAGTTTCTAATTCAGTAGGTCTGAGGTGGGGCCCGATATTTTGCATTTCTAACAAGCTCCCATGTGATGTCAATGCTGCTTGTCACAACTTTAGGGACCATTTTTGTAAACTGAAAATTCATCCATTTTCCTTCCAAGCATTCTTTCATTAAGGATGGCCTCCATTGCCCTCTGCTGGCCAGACCTCAAGTTTAATTTAGCGGTCATGTTTCCAGAGCAACTTAAAAAGTACAGTGTGGGTTGGAAGAAAATAAACATTTGTCTGAGAACTAAACCGGTTTTAAAATAGCAATTGTAATTGTTGTCTCAGAGTATACTTAAAAAGGTATTCACAGGAATTATCTTACTGAATCTTTGCAACAGTCCTGTGAAGTAGGCAAGACTGGCATTTTCATTTTACAAATAAAGAAAACAAGCCCATGGTCCATCAAATAATGATTCTCCCTGACACAGGGGGCTTGTTAAAAGCAGAATTTTATTGAGAGCCCAACCAGAAGAGTAGAGGTTTGCCCTCATGAAGGCCAAAGGGAAGGGGATGGGGAGAAGGATGATGAACAGCAGATGTACCGCACGTAAGGGAGCTACGTGATTTCCACCAGCCTGGGAAAGCCTGCGGAGCCAGAAGACCTTTCCCCCAGCCATGCCGGGTGGGGCTGCCTGTTAGTCCTGGGAGCTCCCTACCTCAATTTCCTTTTTCAGTAGTAAGATTAAATGTCCATAAAATCACCTAGTGACACTGAAAATTTCAAGACGTTGAAAGAAATGAAAGAAGACGTAAGTAAATGGGGAAACTTCCCATGTTCATGGATCCTAAAGTTAATATTACTAAGATGGCTATACTCTTCAAATGCATCGTGCATTCAGTGCAACCCTTACCAAAATTCCAGCTTCTTTTTTGCAGAAATTGACGAGCTGTTCCTGACATTCATATGGAAGGGTTAGAATAACCAAAACACTCTTGAAAAAAGACAAGTTGGAAGACTCCCTTTTTTTTTTTTTCAATTTCAAAGCTTACTAAAAAGCTACGGTAATCAAGATCAGATGATACTGGAATAAGAACATATAGATAAATAGGAGATAACTGAAAGTCCAGAGATAAACTCTTATTTACAGTCAGCTTATTTTCAACAAGCGTGTCAGCTCAGTGGGGAAAAGAATAGTCTTTTTAATAAATGGTTTTAGGACAACTGGATATCCATGGGCAAAAAAAAAAATCACCTAGGGAGCCTGTCACAAGGGAAGATCACTGGCTCCCACCTCCGCAGTTCTGCTTCAGTAGGTCTGGGGTAGGACCTAGGGATCTGCAGTTTAAGACGTACTCCCTCCCTCAGGAATCCTGGTGCAGGAGGTCCAGAGACCGAATTTTGGGAACTCCTAGTCCTCACAAAATGCTCTCTTGACACACCACCACCAGCAAACCGCTATTTCTTGTCTGTGATGGTGTTTCCTTCTAGCCCCCCTCTAAGGTTTCTCTGCTTCCCACACCCATAATAGCCTGCTGGGTTATGATAGCCAGTGCTAAGATTCAATCCCCAACTCTTTTTTTACCCCCTCCAAGCCTCAGGTTTCTCATCTATAAAATGAGGAAATGCCTACCTCACTGGGCTGTAGTGAGAATTAAGTGAGAAGGTGTGTCTTATGCATAGTATTTGACATTCAAAATGTGTCCAATAAACATGAGTTCATGGATCTTGCCTTCTGATCCCTAGATCCACAAAAAGTAGTAGTTGCTAAGCTGACCTCTTTTGGATTCCTACAGGTTTTTAAGCAACCAGGAGGATCAGGAGATAATCAAGGTGATGTCATCCCCCAGACTCATTCCCTTGTGGAAAGATTTTAAATACCTCATAAATGGCATCCTACAGAAAAGCAAGGTAATATACACATAGGATGTAAACTTATTACCAGCCTCTATCCATCTCAATAGTCATGAGCACTTCAGAGGAGCATGGATTTTCCGTGGAAGCAGGAAGCAGGCAGGGCAGATCATAAGGGCAAATGTCGCCTTAGTAGGAAGCAGGCCATCAATTTCCAAATGAGTCTAGGGACCTCTTGCAAGGACATTTGATAGTGGAAATGTCAGAGGAACCAGCGCTCTGGGAAGAGGGATTTTTGTAAAAGGGAAGGGAGAAGGCACTAGAGAACATTGGCCAACCCCAGTTTTGCTTTGGTTTGCTCTGTGGGAAAAGATTCCAGCTGCATGTTTCACAGCACGTGCTCTTTCACTGTGGGAGAATACAGATTGTATATTTATTGTCTTCTTTGTCAAATTTAAAGGCCAGGTAGGGGGTGACAAAAATTTTAGTGCTGTTTTAAGCTTAATAACTCAAAGCTGCACTGACTTTTGGGACACCCTGTTACATTACACATGGGTGTATGGTGGTGCACTTGCCTGCGTATTCTGTTAACCTAAGTCTTTTATGACATAAGTACCTTTTAGATGGAGGGAGGATGTCAGAGGACAAGTATAGCTAATTCATGTTGGGAAGAACATCGCTTTTCCCCTGTGCTCACACTATAAAATTTGCCCATACAGACCCTCTTAGGGGTGTGGTTCTGTCTTGTGTGGGGAATTTGTTTGCATCCTCTTGGAGGGTGGGTGTCCTGCAGGTGGTAAGTTGCACGCACATGGGTGTAGCAGGAGTGGTCCTTGGGGTTGAGGCATGACTTTGGGAACTGCTTCAGTTGTGGCTTGTGTAGAGTATGTTTAGTGCATGTGTGTCCTGCTCTCTTGGTTTATGCCATGCCTCTCCCCAGCAAACCTTAGATGGTCCAAAGAGTGACGTAGTTGTGCTGAGTGATCGGTCCCAGACACTGTTCAAAGAGTCTTGCCATCCTCACAATATGCCGTTTGTATGCTATTACTTCAGTGATGCCAACTTCTTTGCCTCCCTCTCGTGGGTGACGCCAAGCACAAAAGATACACAGGTAAGACTGCCTAGCCTTTCTTCTCCTTCTCAGCCCATTCTGCAGGGCCATGCCCATATAAGCCTCCACCCTAGACTGACAAAGGATACATAGCCCTTAAATGAAAGTGACCTGGATCCAGGATTTCCCCCTCATCTTTTCCTAGTATAGTCTCCATGCTGAATGGATTTTATGCTTCCCCTAAAGTAGACCAAGATTAGGGAAAGAGTCCTAGGCTTCCTGCTTCTACAATATTTGCAACTCCTGTAAGCAGGGAGTGATATCACTCTAGAGTCTTCCAATTCCTCCTTCGCACAATATCAAGGGAGAAGAGCTGAATATTCTGCCCTTTCCTCTTTTACTCTCTGCTCTAGGCAGTCTCCATCTTACTGTCTTCCAGGCTGTAGTATGGATGAAAAGCAAAACTGAGGACGTGGTCGAGAAGAGAACATTCTCCATGATGGAACAACTGCCACCCATCCAGTCCATGGTTCACACAGGTTCCTTTCATATCCTCGTGGCTTACTGTGGTGACCTGCTCCTGCGGCTCTTTGGGGACCACTTTCGGTCATTCAAACCCTTGGGTATAGTGCCCTGCCGCTTTAACATCAACTGCCTGTGCTATGACCCGGAAACGAAGATGCTTCTTTCGGGCATCCTGGGGGCAGTGGTCACTTGGATCATTGAGCTGAGTGGCAAGGGCCTCCAAATAGCCTACGTGATTCCCATGCCTGGTGATGAGCTTGTCCAGGACATCGTGTTGAATGGTCCCAGTGGCACCCTCCTGGCCCTTTGTGAGACTGTGGTGAGGGTCCTGGAGCGTCAGGGCCCAGGCCAGCTGGGAGAGGTGAAGAAGTTCACTTCTACCACCAGTGGCTCCTCTATCAGCTCCTGCTTCACCTGTTTTGATCAGGACTTTCTCTATGCTGGAAACAAGACTGGGGAAGTCCAAGTATGGAGCCTTACCCAGGGCCACTCTCTCCACAGTTTCAAGGCCCATTCCTCCTCAGTGGTGTGTATCCGCAGCTGGCCAGAAGCCCACACCCTGCTAACAGCTGGCAGGGAAGGCTTAATCAAGGAGTGGAGCCTTGCTTCAGGGAACCTGCTGCGGCAGCTAGAACTTGGTGAGGAACTGTACCGACTCCAGTTTATCGATAGCAGTACTTTCTTCTGCCAGACTACCCATACTTTCTCCTTGAGCTCTCTTCCCTGCTTCTATAGCCTCTTCAATGTCTGTGGCTCTGCCCCCCAACAGGTGCGAAGGGTCTGCTGTGGTTATAACTGGTTCCGGATCCTGTGTACAACTGAAGATGGCTTGTTACGCTTTGTGTCCCCAGTAACAGGGAATCTTCTGGTTCTCACCTGGCCCTTCTCAATCCTGGACCAGGCTGTGGATTGGGCCTATGACCCAGATAAAGAGGAGCTGTTTGTAGCAACAGGCAGCACAGAAGTGCTGGTATTTGACACAACGCGCTCCCCTTGCCCAGCCAAGTATCTTTTATGCACCTCACTGAATTCTTATGACCGGGTACAATGCCTGGCTTATGGGCATTTCCGCCTGGGTCGGGGTCTACAAGGACTAGTGTTCTCTGGACACCAGACTGGTGTGATAAAAGTGCTCTCCCAGCATAGCTGTGCCCAAATAGAGAGATTCATGCACTTTGGGGCTGTACTGGCACTCTCTACATTGCCTCCAGAGATTTTTGGTGGCCGAGAAAACTCTTTGCTCTGTTCCTATGGAATGGATAACTACATACACCTATCAGAAGCTGTGCTTGAGGGGATCAGAGTATATCTGCAGCCCCTTGCCAGCATTCTCAGTAGCTGTCAACTAAAACACCTGATACTCTTGCCCAAGTCTGTGGGTGCCATCACGGACACTAACTGCCTGCGTCTCTGGAAGTTCCATGATTTTCTGTCCTCTGGGTCACAGAAAGGCTCCAAGTTCATAGAGACACTGCCTCTGCACCAGTGCACCATCACATCCTTTGATGTCTGCCTGTCCTTGAGTCTTTTTGTCACAGGTGGTATTGATGGCTCTGTGCGGATCTGGAACTTCCATGGTAGACTTGTAGCCATGCTGGACTCACCATTGCACTTTGGCCCACTCTGCTTTGCAAATGACCGGGGTGACCTGCTTGTGGCTTTCAACCAGAGTCTTTATCTGGTGTCCTGTCTAAAACTGCTTCCCCGCACCCTGCTGGTTCACCTTTCCTTTATGAGCATGACAGATGACATGCTGGAAATCCCTAAGCCTTTCATACCAAGCTTCTTCTTCTCCTTTGAGACCATGTTTGTGCCCAAGTATGTCTATCTTGGACACAAGAAGGAATTAGTGCACTTGGAAAGCCTTGTCAATAGGCGGGCCATTGCCTTTGACCATACTGTGCCACATGTCATAGAAGAAGATGAGGAAGGAAGCCCCGTGTTACTGTCGACCTACAGACAGGAGTCCTTGTATAAGGAGGAAACTGATAGCATGCAGGAGAGCAAACCTCATCATACCCATTATGTGGTTCCTCCCCAACTACAGCTGACTACATGGGATGGACTCAATCCCTGTAAAATACTGCAAGGCTACTTTGGTCATGGGCAGAAATGGCTGTTAGCGCCTGATTGCTACATCCCCAACTCAGTGATCCGTGCCCGTCTTTTTCCAGAGGGCAGCCCGATATACCTGCAATGCAACCTGCACTCATCTATGCGGGAACTGGAATGGGACAAGTCTCGGCAATTCTTCTTCTGGCATGCTGGGGTAAAAGCAATAAGTAATGTGGGAGAATATCCACCAGAAAAGGAGGATGAAGACTTCATAGAAATGAGAATGAGCAAGGATGTAACCTACAGTGTCCTTACAGACCCAACAAACCACAGCTGGCTGGGAAGAAAGATGAGTGAAATAGCTGTCAGTAGCCTGATTGAGACAGTCCTCAACATTATGATCCATGCCTCTCCACTGAAGTACCAGTGCTGTATTGGTGCACTAGGGCAAATCTTTGCCTCTTACCAGGTGTCTCCGTCTCTGCACTCTGAAACAGCCCATCGTCTGCTGGATGGTACAACCAATTCCAATCCACAGATCCGAGAGCTAGCCTGGGATGGGCTGAAGCGGCTAGGAATGGTTACTCATCTCTTTGCCATACCTCTGTCCCAAGGACTGATGGACAAGGACCAGAGAGTGAGAGAGAAGGCCTGGAGCCTCATGCCTGACACTGGGATTCACACTAAGACCTCACTCTTAAGTTTGATCCAGAACCGAGAGACTTTCCGAGAAATGCGGTAAGTCCTCGGTGTCTTCCTCAATTCTTTACTAGCTTCTAATTTTCTTCTCCTCCTCCCCAACTTCCCCCTTCCCTCCCTTCACTATCTCTTCATCCTTGTTCATTAGGTCTTCCTATCTGTTTCCTTCTTTCATAGTCTTTCCATCCCTAGGCTATCTTGGCAGTCCCCTACAGCTTACTCCTTCTCCCTTTCTTCTTTTGCTGTTTCTTACCTTTTCAAGTTCCCCTTTTCATGTTTTTCTCCTACCCCTGCAGCCTCCATACAAGAGGCACTGCCATCCTGGCTTTCTAGGCTTTTTATTTTTTCTTGGCCATCCTTTACCTCTACATACACTGTCACTTTTTGGCCACTTTGCCAAGCCTCCTACCTGTGCTACAGCAATTCTTTCCTTTTCATCATCCTTCTTGTCCCTGATTCAGCACGGTTCTTCCTCTCCTTTGATTTTCATAGGCAGGAAATGGTTGGGGATGAACCCCTGGACCATCTGCTGGGGATGCGGGCCACAGATCTCCAGATCCTTTCTACTCAAGTGGAGCAGCGGTTGAGTGAAAACCTGACTTTGTCACATGAATATGAAAAGCCTGCTTTTTCTTTGGATGTCTCAAGGGCTTCTCAACATAGGTCTTTTCCTGTGCAACCTGATACAGTTCTTGAAAAACCCAAAGTTGCCATCAAGCCCAGCAAAGGCCAAAGACGGGGCCGAACAGCAGGCACAAAGCCTAGTATGTATGGGGTGATTGGGTTTGTGCTTCAGGGTCCCCAAGAGGCAGGGTTGGTTAGAGCCAAAGTGGGGCAAAATATCAGGTAGGACTGCAAATAAGTGGAAAGATCTTTTCACTGAAAAGAACCTTCCTAGAAAGAATCCACCCAAACTTAGGGAGACTCTAAGGCCTCTCTCTATAGGGTTTGGTATGGGAGGGTGGAGGAGGGCACTAGACTAAAGAAGGGAGAATCCTTTTCTTAAAGGCCTCAGCCCCCTCAGTTGCTACTTTTATGACTGTTTCTGTTAGCTGCTCATACCAGATATTGGAAAGGATTTCATTTAAGCCTCCCTGCCTTCCTTATACTGATTTTCCTTATCTCCTGATTTTCTCAGCCGCCCGAAAATGGTTGCGGGGCTTCAAGAAGATAGAGACTGGCATAGAGCCAGGCCTTTTAGAGGGTGTATGTGACCAGGGTGCAGCTGAACCAGTTGAGGTGGAGGATACAGACATAGATTCCAGAAGGTCTTCAGTTGCCACTATACTGAAGATTTCAAAAGATGCTGAACAATCTCCAGAGAAAGATGCCTCAAAGGATCATGTTGCAATGGCCTTGAAGATGCTACAGGAAATACGTGAGAAAAAAGGCAAGAAAACAACAGTTCGGAAACCCATAAAGAGGCGCAAGAAGACCAAAAAAGCTGAAGTTATTGAGGAACATCTGCCTCCTGTAAAGGAAGAACTAGTTGTGAGGAAGGTGAAAGCCGGAGGGCAGGGTGCCCATGGGGTGCCTGGCCTCAGGACCACCCCTGGAGATGGCTCCTCATGGCGGGATGATCTGTGTCGTCTCATGGCCCTGAGGATATCTAGCTCCCAAACAAAAATGTCAGAAGATCTAAACACTGAGCTAGTGACTGTGGCTCAGGAGGTGCTGGCAGATCAGCACCCCAGCTGGGAGCTCTTTCAGGAGAAGAAGAAGGCGCAGGGAGGGGAGGAGGAGGAGGAAGGATTTGAAGGGCAGGAGGAAGGCATGAGTGAGGGAGAGCCGGAACGTCTGGGTGAGAATGAGGAGGAGGCTGAGGGGAGAAGCTCACTGGAGGAAGAGGCAGCCAAGAAAAAAACACTCTCAGAAAAAGAAACACCAGAGTTTCAAGAAGAGAGAAGAAAGGATCTAGGAGGAAGACAAACTGTCTCTTCTATTGGAAAAAGAATCCCCGAGATCAAAGGCAGTGCTACGAAATCGGGAGTTCCAAAAATCCCTTCCAAGAGACTGACCTCAATAGCTCTGAAGAAGGAAGAGAAGATGCCAGAGCCAGTGTCTATGAAACAAGTATCTGGGAAAGATAAGGCCATGGTGCTTGAGATGCCCAGTATAGTCCCAGGGACAAGGTTTATGGGTGAACAAGAACTGCTGAAGGGCCATAAGCCCATATCTCCACAAGTTTGGGATACAATTTTGGAGTCCCAAGAGCTGGACTTAGAGACCCCGTATTTATCCCACATGTTGAGGAAGACCATGGAAGCTCTGAAACTCCAAGGCAAACCACGAGGGGCCAAGTGGCAGCAGCTCTTGCAGCATCATACATCTCTGATGGGCCAGACCAAGAGAAAATCACCTGTGCCTGAAACCTTGGCTAAGGAAATATATGCAGAAGTAAGCCTCTCAGATGTAGACTGGATCCACCATGTCCTAGAATGGATGGAAGCAGGAGAACAGCTTTCCAGGGATAGTTTCCACAGATTGTGCCAGCTTCTCAAAGACTTCACCTCAAAGGGAAACATAGAGTGGCTACGTCTGGCCCAACTTGAAGCTGTTGTGCACCATCACAGGCAGATCCTGGAGTCACAGAGTACACGTATCTCAAGACCCAGTAAGGAGCCCATGGGTCTAAATTACGTGAAAGCGATCCCTCCTATAAAAGGAAAGGAAAAGGAAAGCTGGCTCAGATCTTGGGCTGTCCCCATACCAAAGTCCCCATTATCTACCAAAGGGATTCCAGACTCAAAGGCTCTAAACTTGCATCTTCTAGGAGGGCCTTACAAGAGTGCACGGGCAGAGCAGATATCCACTGCTCTCAAGGAGATGGATAGACAGTACTTTTATCCTGCCACAGGAGACATTTTCACAGATGCCCATGACTCTGTAGAAAAACAAACCCTAACTCCGATGTTTCAGAAAGATCATGGGGCTTTTACAGGTAAGGGCAGGTTTCCCAAGTTGCCCAAGTTGGTGAAAAAGGCACAGTCCATCTCTAAGAAGGAGGTGCTTCCATGGGAGACATTTGTAGCAGTGTACCATGTTCTGCGGGTGTTGCGGGAGCAACATGCAAAAGACAGTGCTGCTTGGATGGAACAGTTCTACCAGCTCATGGACCTGTACCAACTTAAGTCACCCCAAATCCAGAGACTGCTACAGGAGCTGCTAGTGAGAGAGGAACCCCAATCCCATGAGATCACCTACAGAGAGGCCCTAAAGACCATGGAGCTGGCTCCTGGGGAACGGTTGTTCTACCACTTGCTCTGTGGTAGCTCTTACATTCCTAGAGGTCCTCTGGAGTTCCAGGAGGTGGTGCCCATCCCAGGGCAGAACAATGTGCGTACCATACTTCCTATAGGTATTGCCCGTTATGGAATTTTAGAACTTGCCTGGAAGAGCTTGCCTGAAGCTGATATTCACCTCACCAAAGAACTGCCCCACATCATTGCCCCAACCCCTTAACTGGGGACTTACTGGAGGGACTGACTCATTCCTACATGGAGGAAGGCATTATCACCAGAATCTAGACCTTTATCCCTAGGGCCCACACAGAGGTAAGACCAGGCCAAAGCCCTTTTCCTACCCAGCTCCAGAAATCACCTTCTATATGTGGAATAAAGAGGAAATTCTCATTTGCAGCAAGAAGTAAGAATGGCCCATATGACTCTGCAGCCTTGACCTGAATCATTTTTCTTTTTGGCCTCTGTAATGTGTCCCTTTTCCTCTTATGTTGCTTTTCCAGAAAGGTGTCTGGGTAGCTCAGACACGTACCTCTGCAAGTGGGAAAACTTCCCAAAAACCAGTGGTGCTCAGTTCTGGAGACCTTGAGGCCAAAGAGTCTGTCCTTGTCCTCTTCCTTCTTGCCTCCCCTAAAGAGTATAGAAAGGAAAGCAACTGGCACAAAAATGAATGTATATTTGGCATTAATATAAGAGGCGTTGATATGGTGGAAAGAAAGTGGATTTTAGAATCAAAAGATGCAGCACTTTGCCCCTTGGTTTTTGGGGGTCCATAGTGGAGGGAGACTGTATTTCCCTGACCATAGCTTTGCATGCTGATGACTTGAGTTCCAAATAGCAGGTGTGGTAAGTGTTGAGAAGACAGAGTAAAGGAAAAGCTTCAATAAGTTCTAGTCACCTGGTGACCTCATTACTGGATAGCACTAAGGGGTGAGGCCATTTGAGTTAAAGCAGAAAGAAAAGGAGGGAAGCCTATGTTTTTCACTTCCTTTGCCAACACTTGGACATGGGGTTTGATGAGGATGACAGAATGAGAATTTGGAAGACTAGGTATAAGCTCAAATAGGCCCTGAACTGTCTAGGGACTTATGAGCCTTTTCTTTAGCAATTAAGGAGATAAGAGTTAAATGAAAGGGAAAGTAAAGTAGAGGAAGATGTCCCTGCCAGTAATCATGTTCTTTCTCTGATCTCTTCTCCACACCATGGAGACTTCAGAACTGCCTATGGGTAGTTTGAGACTTCCCACAGTTTCTAGCAAATAGCCCATGTATGCCATTTGCTATCCCCATCCCAACCTCTCCTTCGTTATTCTACGCCCTCCACCTGAGTTTGCTTTTTGGGGAATCCAGGAATAGAGGGCAAGAGAACATTCTGAGAAGTTGGATTCAAGCCAAGGGTAAGCAGTTGTGTTGCTGGGTTCTTCTGTGACAGACTACATATCAGGCTATATGGAATGGCCTGTGGGGCTGTGGGCTGGAGACAGGCTGTGGGCTAGGGACACGTAGCCTCAAAAGGGGTGATTGACCCAAACAGGAGGGCAAGGCAGCAGAAGTAATAATGGCCCAGATGACTGCAGTCTTGACCTGAGTCATTTCTCTTTTTGGCTTCTGGTTACTTGTCTGTGTCAAAAAGATGACAGTGCACGAATTACAAATATCAGCCATGAAAGAGGGGACATCACTACAGAAACTACAGACATTGAAAGGATAAAGATTACTATGCATAACTCTATGCCCCAAATTTAACAACATAGATGAAATGGACAAATTCCTTGAAAGACCCAAAAATGGAAGAGCAATACCTATCTTAATACATTTTGCATGGTATAAGTGGGTCCTCTGGTCAAAACAAACAAAACGCAATGCTAAAAAGTCTAACTGTTCAGTGACAGTAATGGGGTATGTGGGGGGGACTTGATAATAGGGGGAGTCTAGTAACCGTAATGTTGTTCAAGTAATTGTACGTTAACGATATAAAAAAAAAAGTCTAACTGTTGTGATCCTAAAGTCAAGATGTCTACAGATGGCTTTCTTTAGGTCATCTTAAAGCCTTGGTACTGCCTGGGACAATCTAGACATCCTCTTGTTTTTGGCAGAATGACAGAGAGCAAGACTTATTGGACTTTTTTTTCTTTATTTTTTTATTAAGGTATCATTGATATACAATCTTATGAAGGTTTCACATGAGCAACATTGTGGTTACTACTTTCACCCATATTATCCAGTCCCCCCCCCCACACCCCACTGCAGTCACTGTCCATAAGCATAGTAAGATGCCACAGAGTTACTATTTGTCTTCTCTGTGCTATACTGCCTTCCCCTTGACCCCCACTACATTATGTGTGCTAATTATACTGCCCGTTAATACCCTTCTCCCTCCCTTCCCACTCACCCTCCCCACACCCGTCCCCTTGGTAACCGCTAGTCCCTTCCTGGTGTCTACGAGTCTGCTGTTTGGTTTCTTCAGTTTTACTTCGTTGTTATACTCCACAAATGAGGGAAATCGTTTGATACTTGCTTTCTCGACCTGGTTTATTTCACTGAGCATAATACTCTCCAGCTCCATCCATGTTGTTGCAAATGGTAGGATTTGTTTTCTGCTTATGGCTGAATAGCATTCCATTGTGTATATGTACTACATCTTTATCCATTCATCTACTAATGGACACTTAGGTTGCTTCCATTTCTTGGCTATTGTAAATAGTGCTGCGATAAATATAGGGGTGCATATGTCTTTTTCAAACTGGGCTGCTGCATTCTTAGGATAAATTCCTAGGAGTGGAATTCCTGGATCGAATAGTATTTCTATTTTGTTTTTTTTGAGAAACCTCCATACTGATTTCCACAATGATTGAACTATTTTACATTCCCACCAGCAGTGTAGGAGGATTCCCCTTTCTCCACATCCTCGCCAACATTTGTTGTTGTCTTTTGGATGTTGGCCATCCTAACTGGTGTAAGGTGATATCTCATTGTGGTTTTAATTTGCATTTCTCTGATGATTAGGGATGTGGAGCATCTTTTCATGTGCCTGTAGGCCATCAGAATTTCTTCTTTGGAGAAGTGTCTGTTCAGCAACTCTGTCCATTTTTTAATTGACTTATTTGCTTTTTGTTTGTTGAGGTGCATGAGCTGTTTATATAATTTGGCTGTCAACCCCTTATCGGATATGCCATTCATGAATATATTCTCCCATACTGTAGGATGTCTTTTTGTTCTACTGATGGTGTCCTTTGCTGTACAGAAGCTTTCTAGTTTGATATAGTCCCACTTGTTCATTTTTGCTTTGGTTTCCCTTGCCCGGGGAGATATGTTCATGAAGAAGTTGCTTATGTTTATGTCCAAGAGATTTTTGCCTATGTTTTTTCCTAAGAGTTTTATGGTTTCATGACTTACATTCAGGTCTTTGATCCATTTTGAGTTTACTTTTGTATATGGGGTTAGACAATAATTCAGTTACATTCTCTTACATGTAGCTGTCCAGTTTTGCCAATACCAGCTGTTGAGGAGGCTGTCATTTCCCCATTGTATGTCCATGGCTCCTTTATCATATATTAATTGACCATATATGCTTGGGTTTATATCTGGGCTCTCTAGTCTGTTCCATTGGTCTATGGGTCTGTTCTTGTGCAAGTACCAAATTGTTGTGATTACTGTGGCTTTGTAGTAGAGCTTGAAGTCAGAGAGCTTGAAGTAATCCCCCCACTTTATTCTTCCTTCTCAGGATTGCTTTGGCTATTCAGGGTCTTTTGTGGGTCCATATGAATTTTACAACTATTTTTTCAAGTTTGTTGAAGAATGCTGTTGGTGTTTCATAGGGATTGCATTGAATCTATAGATTGCTTTAGGCAGGATGGCCATTTTGACAATATTAATTCTTCCTATCCCTGAGAATGGGACATATTTCCATTTATTAGTATCTTCTTTAATTTCTCTCATGAGTGTCTTGTAGTTTTCAGAGTATAGGTCTTTCACCTCCTTGGTTAGGTTTATTCCTATGTATGTTACTCTTTTGATGCAATTGCAGATGGAGTTGTTTTCCTGATTTCTCTTTCTGCTAGTTCATCATTAGTATATAGGGATGCAACAGATTTCTGTGTATTAATTTTGTATTTGGCAACTTTACTGAATTCAGTTATTATTTCTAATACTTTTGGGGTGGATTCTTTAGGGCTTTTATGTACAGTATCATGTCATCTGCAAACAGTGACAGTTTAACTTCTTCCTTACCAATCTGAATGCCTTTATTTCTTTGTGTTGTCTGATTGCCATGGCTAGGACCCCCAGTACTATGCTGAATAAAAGTGAGGAGAGTGGGCATCCTTGTCTTGTTCCCGATATTAGAGGAAAATCTTTCAGCTTTTTGCTGTTAGGTATGATGTTGGCTGTGGGTTTGTCATATATATTGAGGTGCTTGTCCTCTATACCCACTTTGTTGAGAGTTTTTATCATGAATGGATGTTGAATTTTGTCAAATGATTTTTCAGCATCTATGGAGATGATTATGTGGTTTTTGTCCTTCTTTTTGTTGATCTAATGGATGGTGTTGATGGATTTTTTAATATTGTACCATCCTTGCATTCCTGGAATAAATCCTACTTGATCATGATGGATAATCTTTTTGATGTATTTTTGAATTCAGTTTGCTAATATTTTGTTGAGTATTTTTGCATCTATGTTCATCAGGGATATTGGTCTGTAATTTTCTTTTTTTTGTGGTGTCTTTGCCTGGTTTTGGTATTAGAGTGATGCTGGCCTCATAGAATGAGTTTGGAAGTATTCCCTTTTTCTCTACTTTTTGGAAAAGTTTAAGGAAGATGGGTATTAGGTCTTCTCTAAATGTTTGATAAAATTCAGCAGTGAAGCCATCTGGTCCAGGAGTTTTGTTCTTAGGTAGGTATTTGATTACCAGTTCAATTTCGTTGCTGGTAATTGGTCTGTTCAGATTTTCTGTTTCTTCCTTGGTCAGCCTTGGAAGGTTGTATTTTTCTAGAAAGTTGTCCATTTCTTCTAGGTTATCCAGTTTATTAGCATATAATTTTTCATAGTATTCTTTAATAATTCTTTGTATTTCTGTGATGTTCATAGTGATTTTTCCTTTCTCATTTCTGATTCTGTTTATGTGTGTAGACTCTCTTTTTTTCTTGATTAGTCTGGCTATGTGTTTATCTATTTTGTTTATTTTCTCAAAGAACCAGCTCTTGCTTTCATTGATTCTTTGTAT